GTGGCAGAGAAAGTTCTATGAAGATGATGCATCTGGAACTAGGTCTTGGAGGTGAGTTGGCCTTCGTGTTTTGGTTAGGACCAAGGGTTGGGAGAGCATTGCAGGGAGAGGTCATTCCACATGCAGAATAGGAAGCATATCCGAGCCCCACGTCTCTGTGTGCTGGTCAGGGGTGGGGGGAAAGACACATCAACCTCGATAATAGGGTTTGGGAATAGAGGGTAGATCCGGATGGATCGTGTGGGGTAAATTGTCAGAGAAGAAGTTTTTAAGATGAGCGCTTTGTACAGTATGCAGTGGTAAGGTTTATATGCATATGTTTGGAAACAAGGCGTGAAGGGAGGGTTTATGGCAATTTACTCTGGCATGGCTCTGTGGGCCTCCCCTTCTGAGCCATGATGCTTTACCCTTAACTTCAGGAAGGATCGTCCTCTAGAAACCCTTCCTTCTAATCCTGTCCCTTGTACTGATGAGTCTGTGGTGGCTCCTGGCTGCTAGATGAGAAACAAGAAATGAATTTAAGTGAAAAGTACTAGTCATGGCCTTCAAGGCTTCAAGTTAATCTCTGCATTTATCCACCCACATCTTACATATCCTGATTGCCACCATTTATATTTATTTACTAATATTATTAATTAATATTGTTAACATTTATTTATTTTCTGTATCTGTGTGTCTATCTTGTTAATAAATTTAAGGCTGTCATCTGTCTCTCAAGATTAACCTATCCATTTCTTTTTTTTCAATTTTTTTAATGTTTATTTATTTTTGAGAGAGAGAGAGAGAGAGAGAGAGACAGAGCATGAGTGGGGGAAGGGCAGAGAGAGAGGGAGACACAGAATCCTAAGCAGGCTCCAGGCTCTGAGCTGTCAGCACAGAGCCCGATGTGGGGCTCGAACTCACGAGCCGCAATGTCATGACCTGAGCTGAAGTCAGATGCCTAACCTACTGAGCCACCCAGGCACCCAACCTATGCATTTCTGGCAGCCAAATTAAGCCTCCTCCTAAATGTTGGCTTCAAGATTCACTCCCACTCTGGAGCGCCTGGGGGGCTCAGGTGGTTAAGCATCCGACACTTGGTTTTGGCTCAGGTCCTGATCTCACAGTCATGAGATCGAGCCCCCGCGTCGGGCTCCGTGCTGAGCGTAGAGGCTGCTTGGAATGCTCTCTCTCCCTTTCTCTCTGCACCCCGCCCCCTGCCCCAACAAATAAATAAACATTTCAAAGGAGATTCATTTCCACTATGAAATCTTTCTGGACTTTGACCAACCACGTTAAATTTCTTCGAACTTGCGGTTCCTCTTCTGCACAAATGGCACCAACATTCCGCACCTCTTGATGTGAGGACCGAATGCGGACCTGCCTAAAGCACGGTTATTTGCCCAGAGCGGAGGGAGCCTGGTGGCTCCCTCCATCTAGCACCTGCCACCAGGAGCCAGGAATCCCCCTGCGGCGCTCTGTCCCTGCATTGGGACATTCCTCGCGGGGGATGGCAGGGACTGCGTGCCTTGGGTGTGCCTGCATCAGCCCCGTTCAGTGAAACACAAGACTAAACACAGAACAGGAATGCACAGACGTGGAATGTGAGAAGTGTAAGGAAAATCCACAGTCGCAGATCAGAAACCGGACAAGCCTATCTCCTGGCAGGGAGCAGGAGGGAAGCTTTCACGGAAAGGGTGACATTTGCTGAAAAGCAGAGATTATTCTGAGAGTCCCTTAAAGGTAAGGACTTGGCGGTCTCTGGTGCATCGGGGCCTGGTTCCGAAGTGCCGGGAGCAGAGTGGGGGCTTAGTAAATGTCACGTGAACGATGGGACCTCTAAAACACATTTATTACTTGCCGTTCAACTTCCGCACCTGATAGAAAGGTGAAGTTATTTAAATGAGAACCCCCTGCTTGCCATTCCAGGGCTATAAATGGGTTGCGGAGTGGTGTTGAAGACTTTTGAGCGCAGGGTCCTAGAGGAGTACCATGCAACTGAGTCGCCAGTGGCGGGACCGTGTCGAGGTGACGTGTGTCTGGATGTAGAAGTGGTCATCTAGGTGTTCTACCTGTGCAGCCAGGTGGAGCAAAAAGCAAGAAGCGCTGTCGCAAGTGTGTGTAGGTCAGTTTGCCCGGTGTGTGTGCCCAGTGCCATTGGGAGAACATTTGGACGTTTCACGTATTACGGGAGATCACTTTTTTTCTCCCCGATAAATACATCCATGATGGAAATTTCATTGAAAGCCCCCAGATACCCGGAACCGTGTTAGGGAAGGAAAGCAACCCAGAAAGGATAGATGAACTACTCCATAAATGTGTTTATGTCTTTGTTTCTTCTTCCTCCTCTCTGCCTGTTTATACTGTAATATTAACAAATGCAGCGTTTTAATGAGCTTTGACGGAATTACCTTCGGAGGGTTGGTGCGGTATGTTCCTTGGAGACGCATAACTGAAGTTCCCAGTTTCTGGAAGGAAGTCTGTTCCTCATTAGCTGGGACGGTTAAGAGTGTGCTGGCTCAAGAGAGAGGGGGCCACAGCTCCAGCCCACCTGTGCCTGCACAGGACCGGCCGTGTCTCTGCCCTGCTGTGGAGTCACCCCAGGGCTTGCATTAAAAGTGTCAGGTGGTTTCCCTGGAGGGACTGCTGATTCAATGTCATGTGGGTGTCTCTGGAGGAGCAGTCCTGACACCTACTAACAGTCTGACAAACGGTTAAGTAGCTGTTTTGAGCCCAGGTTGAGAGCTCCAGCATCGTCTACCTGAGCGCTCAGCGGGGAGCTCGGGTTCTCTTTCATGTTCATGGTTGTTAAAGAGGCAGTCTGGAGTCCCTCCCCACCCAAAACCTACCCGCCGCCCTGACAAACACCCTCCCCGAGTAAAACTGCCTGGAAATAAGCAAGACTTTACTATTATTATTATTATTTTGCAAGATGTAGATGGGTTTTTGTATTGGTTTGATTTCGGAACGCGCCCCCTGGAAATCTGGGGAGTTGCCCAGGGCACGTTTGGGAGAAGAGGTCAGAGCCTCCTTGCGTTGACAGGAGGTGAAAAGCCATCACCTCTTTTCTGAGCTCTGGCATTGAGGACCCCGGTACTTGGCTAGGCGGGAGCAATCCGATGCTTCCTCCGAATCAGAAAGCACTTCTTGTGTCAAGTGTCGCAGAGGAGCAGGAGTAGAGAATTCATATTAGAGGCAGCCACACCAGGGGCCGGTAATAGGAGCATCTGGGAGGCTAGTTTTCCCGGGAAGCGGAGGCCCCACCAGACTTTTCCTGGGGTGAGATACTGACTGAGGGTCTTGTGCCTGAGTATGTCGAAACACCCTTTGGTTTCTAGTGATTTTCAAGCCCCAATTTTCCCATCTTTGTGGTGATTCTGAGAGCTGATACTAGTTTAGTCAATTCCTTCTCTGTTAAATTTAGACGGGGGCCGTTTCCATGTTATAATTGACAACCCCGACTCATCCATTTATGTCTCCATGGCTTGGCCATTGTCTACTGGCCACTGAGATCATGGCATTGACTTAGAAGCTTTGGCCAGGCATCCAAGTGTCCAGACCACTAGTCCGTTGAATGGAATCTCCTGTTTAATAATGACTTTTAGCATGCATCTTCTTTTTTTTTTTTTAATATAATATTCATGCAGACTCCTTCACATGATCCACAGTACCTCAGAGCTCCTGGTTATTAAGTTAATTAGATGTAGGTTCAGTGACCTAAATGGTAGGCCAGTAGGTCAAGAGGCCTGAGTACTCTCTGCATTAGACCCTGGCCTGGGATTCCTCGACCATTTGTTGGAGAGCATCTGTTCTTATGCCCCCAATTAATTTAGCATGCACCGCTTTGTAGAGTGTCACTGCTGCAGAGGCCGGCGATGTGTTCATGTTGTATGGACATTATAGAGCCATCCATTCTGTCCCTGACAGTTCCGATTCTAGATCCCTCTACCAAACCTAACAAAAGGGGAGAGCATTTCTTTTCTTCTTTCTTTCTTTCTTTCTTTCTTTCTTTCTTTCTTTCTTTCAACAGTAGCTTTCTGGGTTCAGCTTTGGATTTGGGATTTTCTAACCTTTTATTTGTTTATTTATATTGTCTTTTGGAGGATATGTGAGGTGGGGTGGCAAAAGGAGAGGTGAGATGAGAGAAGTAAGGGTCAGGCTTCATTTGTTTTAAGGTAAAAACTTTGAACTTGCTTTATGGAATTCTACTTCCGCATGTTTTCGAGCAGCAAAAATGCAGCATATGTGTTCTCATAACGTACTAAATGTATAAGATCATAAGTGTTCTTGGCCACTCCCTGCAGAGAAGTTTTACCTCCTAAAAAGCCCTGTTTATACTTTTTCTCCCTTCTCTCATGATCATGAAGAAGCCTATAGGTTATCCTAGGCTTTTAGCTATAGCAGGGTAATTATCTATCTATCTATCTACATTTTAAATGTGTATTTATTTTTGAGAGAGCCTTAATGGGGGAGGGGCAGAGAGAGGGAGACAGAGGATCCAAAGTAGGCTCTGCGCTGACAGCGGTGAGCCCACTGTGGGGCTCGAACTCCTGAACCATGAGATCATGACCCTAGCCGATGTCGGATGCTCAACCGACTGAGCCACCCAGGCACCTGTAAAACAGAAGCTCCTCTCTGTTTGCTGCCTACGTTCTCCTTGAGTTGAGAAGCGCTTCTGTTTTAAAACAAAACACAAAACTGGACTCCCTCACCTGCCAGATTACACCTGCTCCTATGTGACCTGTGTGGTCACTGGCTGTCAGTCCTGCATCCGGGTTGCATATGAGTCCCTGTCCATTAGGTGCTCCTCTTCCGGCATGTGTAGATTCTGGCGGTGCTCTGAATTCCTACACAAGACATGCCGGAAAGAGATGCTCACTTTTGCCCTTTCAGCGAGCGCAGTCTTACTGGTATAAGGTGCATGACTTTTATTCACTTGTCCTCTGTTACTTTTGCGATTCATTTATCTCTGACCAAGGAGAGTCCTTGGCCTTGACCAATGTCTTGTGTTCTCTTTCCAGGGAAGAGCGATCCTTTTTGCTTGTTGGAGTTAGGCAATGACCGACTTCAGACACACACCATTTACAAAAACCTCAACCCTGAGTGGAACAAAGTTTTTACATTGTAAGTGCTTTAGCCTCCAGAATATCAAGGAGCAGTTTTAATTTAGAGACCAGTTAGCTGTGATATGTTTGGGGCAGGCTGGGGCTCCTGAGTGGAACGTTCTGTCCATTTTTATGAGCGAAGGATGAATCTTATTATTTTTTTCCTTCTAAACACCTTTTATCCTTTCATTTTTATGGAGTGTTAATAATAGATAAGGCCATTTGGAACTGCAAGGGAGTGTTATAGGAGACATTTGTAAGGTAGATCTTTCAGTAACTCAATTAATCTGTTAGTAGGTGGAAGCTTCCATATATCCAGACAAATTCATTCCTGAGTTAAAGCAAATTACACATGTAGATCTGCCTTAAATTCAAGTTTATGTGTGACAACATTAGTATCAGGCCTAAAGACTTGTATTAAGCCAGAGTCTTTTTGAAAATACAAGTTTTCTGTGATTTCTCAAAGAGTCCCAAAGTCTCCTTGAATTCCAGTTTGTCTGAATGACCCCTGCTCCACAGGGATGCCCTGTCTACTCTTTCACATTCAGGCATTTAGAAAGATGGATTTATTTCCTGGTTTGCTTTAGATTCTGAGGTGCCTGGGCTTCAAGGGGAAGCACCTGTTGAATTGGGGTCAAATGATAGTTCACTGCCCTTACAATACTGAAGAAATGTTGGGCTTATAACCGAAAGAATACAGAAAAAGAGAACTAACTATAAGCTATACCTCTGATGAACATAGATGCAAAAATCCTCAATAATATATTAGCAGGCAGAATCCAACAACACATTTAAAAAAAAACATTCACCACAATCAAGTGCGGTTTATTCCTAGGATGCAAGGATGGCTCAATATTTACAAATCAGTTAACATGCTATATCACATAAATAAGAGGATAAAAACCATACGGTTATTTCAATAGATGCAGAAAAAGCATTTGACAAGGTACAGCATCCATTCAGGATAAAAATCCTCAATGAAGTAGGTTTACTCACAGCATCATACTTAATAGGAAAAAAGGAGAGCTTTCCCCTAAGGTCAAGAATAAAACAAGGATGTCCCGTCCCACCGCTTTTATTTAACATCTTCCTGGAAGTCCTAGCCACAGCAATCAGACAAGAAAAAGAAATAAAAGGCATCCAAATTAGTAAGCAGGAAGTAAAACGTTCACTATTTGCAGATGACATGATACTCTATATAGAAAACCCTAAAGATTCTACCAAAAACCTACTGGAAGTGATACATGAATTCAGTAAGGTTGTAGGATAAAAATCAATATACAGAAATCTGTTTCATTTCTATACGCTAATAATGGAGCAGCAGAAACAGAAATTAATAAGACAATCCCATTTATAATTATACCAAAAATCATAAAATACCTAGGAATAAACTTAACTAAAGAGGTGAAAGATCTGTACTCTGAAAACTATAAAACATTAGTGAAAGTTCCCAAGGATCTGTGAAAAGTGGATTAACTCTCCTAAGCCAGTTTGCACATTGTCATATGAAAGATTTTCTTGTTTGCTCAACACATTGCTAATGACCATGGCTCCATTTTTCATCAGGGGTGATGTCTGGTTTCTGGTCAACGTAAAACATGTTTTTAAATATGCGTGGGATTTTTAGTATTTTGCGTTTCAACACTAGGAAGTTTTCTGTAAATCTCAGCAAAAGTGATTTTCACCGCCCTTTTTTTTTAAAGGGAATTCTTCATTAATTTACTTTTTTCTTCATTAATTTGAAGACAGTCTTATTGCCTATTTGGAAGCTACTTTGAAATCACTGTCCTTTTACTCTCCTCATTCTGTCTCTTATTCTTTATCCTCCTGTTTCTTTAATAGTCCTACCCTCGAGTGCACATATGCATGGAAAATGTCAGAGTAAAAAAGTTGACTTTTTTTTTTTTTTTTTTTCACAGGGATGTCTGAATCTTCCATGATGGAAGGTTTGGGAATACAGTTCAGTTTGATTTAATTTTTGGAATTTAATTAAATGGTAGTTTTATACTCTAAGGGCATACAGGCTTAATTAGTGAAACCGTGTGTTCAGATCTTCATGGAACAGACTCCACTTATGTGTTTTTGTATATAATAGGTGGTACATTTCTTGTTTCAGTCCTATTAAAGATATCCACGATGTTTTGGAAGTGACAGTGTTTGACGAAGATGGAGATAAACCTCCTGATTTTCTTGGAAAAGTTGCCATTCCCTTGCTGTCCGTAAGTTACCGTTGTTAATATACAGTTCCTAAGTCATTTTACGGTTGACAGGTTTCTATGGTCTAGGGTTGTTTTATCTTTGTCAGTCTGGGGGGGGGGGAATCCCCCCTGCTATAGCAGGAAACAACTATTTTATTCCTCATCCTTTTCCAGTATTTTCAGTAGTTTCAGATATAAACTAACATAATCTTCTCTGTGTCAGTCAAATATTGCTTTGACCGACAAAAACCTTTCGACTAGTCTTAGTCGAAATTTGTTCTCAGTCTTTCCGTCCTAAGGCGGGAGTTTCTGTTTGGTGTCCGGGAATACAGATCCGTGACTGATTTTCCATTCGTTAATGAAAAACATACACGTATTTCTATATTACCTCCTCACTGCCCACTTCTTCAAAGATTAGTTGCTGGTAACTGCCAAGTGGTTCTCAGCTCTACCGAAGACCATTTTCTCAAAAGTTCTCTTTGCCTTCATAGTAGTTAGGTTCGCTTTCAGTCTCAAAAGATGCTTTGCGGAAGAACGTAGAGAGCTTCTTTTGGAAAAAGTGCCATTTCGGTTAAAAGGTAACATAACAGAATGAGCAAAGAGATGAATGGAAAAATACCCTAAAAAAGTCAGAGGAGAAAGCCCCAAATAATGCCTTTACGTGGACAAAGGAGGGAAACTGTGCAAAGACTGCACTTGACTTCACCTATTAATTGGACATTAATGTTTATACCAAATGTATTCTTCCAGAAGAGAGAATTTTAGTTTTTCATCCAACCATAAATATGTTTTCTTATAGAGATGTTATGGTCTTATTAGTCCATAAGGCTTTATTTATTTCTTCCCGAAGACTTATTTCTTCAAACTGTTAGTGCATTTTTTAGGAGGAGAGGTCTTTAACTGTGATATTAGACTAGCTCCCATGATGCCTACCGGGGGAAGGAACGCTGCATCCCTCAGTATCTTTTCTGGTTAATTTACCTGGTGTTGAGCGCCTGGTTAATTTCTCGCCAAATTCTCTTCTCCCCAGTGTTCCTCTAGGAATAGGGGTGAAGCCGCTGTCCTCTTGTAGATTTGGCTCCTGCCAAATGCCCAGACCCATCAGTAGTAGAACACACTGACTCTCAGGGACGAGAGGGCAATTTGGGACTTTTCTCTCTTTTTATTACAACTTTGTCAGTTACTCCTGAAGGAATACATGTAACGAGAGCTTAGGACCCAATTTTAGAGGGACCTAAAGGGACAGGAATCAGAGACCCTTCTTTACAATTCAGTTTCCTTTTCTTCTCAATTATTTTGGGCAGGACAGAGACGTTTCTTTTCTTGTTTTTTATGTATTTTTATTTTTTTAATGTTTGTTTATTTTTGAGAGAGAGAGAGAGAGAGAGAGAGAGAGAGTACAAGCGGGGGAGGGGCAGAGAGAGAGAGGGAGACACAGAATATGAAGCAGGCTCCCAGCTCTGAGCTGTCAGCACAGAGCCCGACGCGAACCCACGAACCACTAGATCATGACCTGAGCGAAGCCGGACGCTTAACTGAGTGAGCCACCCGGGCACCCCTCTTTTCTTGTTTTTAGAGATAAATCCACAGTAACATGTGTTATTCCTTGCTGGGTAAACACTACATGGTGTCATTTTTAACCTCCCTCTATCTTACACGTGAAAGTTTTGTGTCATTGGTCTTTCTCTGATACCAACAAATTGACCTACTTTCTTCCCTCCCGTCCTCCCTTGTAATGTACAGTGTCTCCATGCCGTTGGGTTAGATCTAAGAAGTTACCTCTGCCTAAATCAGGTTTGCGGTTTCTCAGCCTTAAGTACCATTGACACTTTGGGATGGGTCGTGGTCTGTTGCAGGGGACTGTCCTGTGCATTGTAGAATCCCTGACCTCCACCCCCTAGATGCCAGGAGCACCCATCCACTCCTCACTGTTGTGACAATCAAAGATGTCTACAGACATTGCCAACTGTTCCGAAGAGGGGCAAAGAGAACCACTGACCTAACTTAATGCAGTTTTCAAACTGCGTCCTTCAAGATGCAAAGTAGAGTGATTTATGAAAGGCTGTTTAAATGCAAGGAGCCCCCTCACCCTCTTAACTTTTTTTCTGGTTGCCGATAAGCTGCCCACGGTCTATTCATTTGTTTGAGGGATAGTTATCAAATGTTCAGTTTGTGCCAGGCATTGTGTTAGGTGGTAATGCTCTAAGAAGGACCGCAGTGAAGGTATCTTCTCCCCCGGAACTTGTATTTGGTTGCAGGAGTCCATAAACAGAACAAACAAATGAGCAAAAGGCAAGACAACATGTTAGGTGGTTAAAAGGTGCCATGTAGAAAGCAAAGCAAGATACGTTCCGAGGATATGTTTGGGGAAGGGGCACAGTTTTCCATGGACCGACCAGGGAGGGCCTCGCTTCGGGGGGGACATTTGAATGAGAACTTTAAGGAGGTGAGAAAGAAAGCCGTGTGAATATCTGGGGGAACTCTTCCAGGCAGGAAATCTTCCAAATCCAAAGGCTCTAAGGCAGTGCCCTGACTGTCCAATTCCAGAAAGATCACGGTGGACAGTGTGGATGGAGTGGAGTAGGCTGGGGGGAGAATCAGAAATGTGGAGCAAGACAGGACACAGGGGCAGAGGGACGCGGGAAAGGGATAAGACTCTGACAGTCTAAAAGTTTGAAAGGCTTTGGGTCTTTCCTAGTGTCGATGGGAAACCACAGGGAAGGTTCAAGCCGGTGGGGGGGGGGGGGGCCTGCTTGCTGTGGTTTACACTCTCTAATTCTGATATTAAAGGACTCTGGCACCCCGAGAAATGAGCCCAGATCTGACAGTTCTCTGCCACGTAAAGTGTAAAGGCAGTGTGGCCTGGGTCACGTTCTCAAGAGGGACTTAAGGGCCCGGGAGCGTTGAGTTGAATACGTTTCAGAAGCTGCCCTTCGGTGCGGCTGTTTCAGTTCAGACTCATTTCCGATTGTCTGACTGACGAATCGGGCAAGTGATCAGATCTTATGGTGGATCTGTTTTGGCTCCTCCTGATATGCGATGGCCCACCTGTTCCATGCGCTCTCCAAACAAATTCATACTCTACCTAAACTGTAGAGATAGATACGATAGAAAAAAATGCCATAACCCTCAGTATCTGTAACAGGCAAATTTTAAGTTGTTCATTAATTCAGCAAACATTCAGTTTTTGAGTAATTCTAACTTGTATTTATGTATATATATATATATATTTATATACATATATATAATATATATGTATGTATATACATATATATATAATATATATGTATGTATATACATATATATGTGTGTATATATATATAATATATATATATGTTTATTTTTGAGAGAGAGAGAGACAGAGCCTGAGCGGGGGGAGGGGCGACAGAGAGAGAGAGAGAGAGAGAGAGGGACACACAGAATCTAAAGCAGGCTCCAGGCTCTGAGCTGTCAGCACAGAGCCCGATGCGGGGCTCGAACCCGCGAACCGTGAGATTATGACCTGAGCCGAAGTCGGACGCTCAACCAACTGAGCCACCCAGGCGCCGCAGAGAATGTATTTTAACATTTATTTAGATCTGTGTTTTTCCCTTTATTTAATATCTACTGAATAATGCTTAATTAACACGTCTTGGGCTGTGCATTTATAATACATTAAATCATTAATTCTCTGAAAACCTCATGTGGCAGGCTTTATTATTATTATTATTGTTATCATTATTATTACTGCTATGGACAGATGAGGAAACAGAGGTACGGGAAGGATCCTGTTGCTGGTAATTAGTCGGGGCTGGATTTGAATGAGGCAGTCTGATGTCAGAGCCTGGGGTCCTGAGAGGAAGTTATACTTCCATGGTGCGTACCTGTTACGTAGACATCATGCCGAAAGCAATGACCAGGATGTGTTTTGTGCAGCCACTGGTCTCAGTGCCATAGGGTGTGGACGGGTGAGACGCAGAGTTGAAGACTGGCCCATCTTGGCTGATGCCTGTGGAATGAATGCACAAGACCCCAAATACCTTTTTTTCTTTATCGAGGTATATTTGGCACAGAATGTTGCATTAGTGTGCAGGGTGGTGATGCGACCAGCCTGTATGGGATGCCACCCTCTGTCACCGTACAATGCTGTCACAATAGCATTGGCTGTATTCCCTATGCCATACCCTTCATCCCCAGGACTTCCTCGTTCTACCCCTAGAAGCCGCGACCTCACGCTCCCCTTTACCCATGTTGCCCATCCCCCACGCCCCCCCTCTGGCAGCCACCGGGTTGACCTCTGTGCTCACACAAGCCCTGAAACACGAAGTGCTGAAAAGAAGGAAAAGAAAACGCAGAGCGGGAGGGATGGACTTAAGTTTAGGAAGACTTTAGGAAGTGGGGCGTTTGAGCTGGCCTTACAAGGAGGCTGGTGTTGATAATGTGCTAAGTGCATTTCAACCTGTTAAATAAAAAGCCTGTTCTGAAGTCACTGTATCTTTGAATCAGGGTGAATGGGCCGACTGACTATGGGTTCATTTAAAAAAAATCCACGTTCTAAAATCAGTGTATCTGTTAATGGTGGCAGAATTGTGCAAATCATGTACATATGTTTAGATACACAGAATCCAGGCCAGCGGGTCACTCTTCCATATTTTTCATTTTTGTTCAAGTCCTCAAATCAGATAGTTGCTTTTTTTTTTTTTTTTCAACGTTTATTTATTTTGGGGACAGAGAGAGACAGAGCATGAACCAGGGAGGGGCAGAGAGAGAGGGAGACACAGGATCGGAAACAGGCTCCAGGCTCTGAGCCATCAGCCCAGAGCTTGACGCGGGGCTCGAACCCACGGACCGCGAGATCGTGACCTGGCTGAAGTCGGACGCTTAACCGACTGCGCCACCCAGGCGCCCCCAGATAGTTGCTTTTTGAATGGCTATATAGATAGGGAAAACTTTTTACTCATTAAAAACAGAAAATTGCCATTAGCATGGATTATAATCTGAAGACTTCTAATCTGTGCCCATTTTTACATTATTCCAAGCAT